GAGTCTTTCTTTTACTTTTGAAAGAGAGGAGCGAACTGGGGGGTGGGGGAAGAGCGCTGGGCCGGTAGCGAATTGCTGCAATGAATGAATGGAAATCCAAATTCTCTGTAAATTTTCATTAAAATGATTAAAAACAAAACAAAACAAAACAAAAAAATGGATTTTCTCACAGAATAGGATAATGTTTTTCTCATTCTTTCCCTATGTTTATCTTTTAATTCTCTGAAAGGATTTTAGAGTTTGAGGAATAAATTCTGACTTTGCATAACTGTTCTTGATTCATGTGAGCAATGACTTATGGCTGCAAATAAAAGATTGCATTCAAGTTTCCATCACGTTTCAGGTCTGCAGAGGTGTTGGTGGCTGGCTTTGAGCAATTAGGTGCTCTCTAATATAGTGACCCTGACAAATTAAAGGCCACAGAGACAGAGGCTTTGAGCAGGAAGACGAGTAATTGTGGTGGCATCTGGAATCTGGGCAGATGTGTGGACATGTCCAAAGCATTTTCAGAAATAACTGTTTTGTATCTTATATTGAAGAATCCTTTTGTAGAACCGACTTTCACCCCATCTGCTCCCACTTAGCTTTCTTTTTTTCTAGGAGGGAAAAAGAAATTACCCTGAACATTTTTTGATGTAAAGAATTCTCTAAAATATGAGCTGGAAGCATATTTATTTAGAGTACAATATTTTGAATAGATCACAGTATCATCTTTTCTTCTTCAGAGAATTATCTAAGAATTTTTCAGCTGAAAGACTAGAACATTTTCCTCTAGAGTATGCGGGGCTTAGTGGACCATTTATAAACGTTTTCACTTCCCTGTTCTTGACAATAGAAGTCATGATTGGTCCTGTTGGTCCTGGCAGCTACTAGCTCAGACCACTTATTTCTACCTTGACTTTTTTTAAAACTATGGTTTTCATTAAGTTGACAGCTAAATCGGAACTGATCCATCAGTTTGTGGAATATTTAACGCAAGCAGTGGAGAGCTACAGGCAGCGTCTGGACTGGCTCACTAGCCAAAGCCGACAGGTTTTCGGTGTCATTTTGGAACAGTGCATAACCATCGTGCTGGATTTGGGTGATATGTTGGAGCAGGAACTCAGTCTGTGCCAAGATGCTCTGACAATGGTCCTTAAGGAGCAGGTGGCTCACATACACAAGTTCAACATCATACGGTGAGTTCCCTGAAGAAGGGGATATTTTGGGGAAATTTTGCAAGTTACTTGCACTAATATATTTGGAGTTAAATAGAATAATTGGCATAGGTAGTTTTATGGTGATAGAAGTTTTATTTTGTAATTTCCCAAAATGTACAATTTCAGCTGAAAAACCACAATGAATGAAGCTTAAATTTTTTTTATCTTAATGAATAAAGATGAGTTAAGAATTAAAAAAAATTATCTGCTTTATGTGTGACATTTTTGTTTTCAAATTCCATCATATTTGGAAACATAATTCTCTTCAAGCATAAGGATAAAATATAAGAACAGGAATTATATTGAGTATAAGTCTCTTCATGCATTTTAGATGTAAGGCTAATTATGAATTTAAATGTATCAAAATTTTCTGTTTCCAGACTGAATTTGCAACTGAAATTTACTTTCTCTGTGAATTGTCTTTTTTAAAATCAGAACAACAGGTGGCTGGCTTTATATTTAAAGATCAATCGTTTATGGGTTTGTTGAGTCAAGAAAATTTTGGCTTTTTGACCCAACTTCTCATCTGGAAGAGTGACTGAACCTCTCTGAGAGGAGACACATGGACACAAAGGCATCCATCTTTTGCAGTGTTTACATTTTTAAAAGAAAACGTTTTCCGTTAAATAGATGGAATCTTTCTGAGATGCTGCCTATTTGTGTTATAGCTGTTGTTACACATGCTGTTGTTACGTGCCATCGAGTTACTTACGACTCATAGTGACCCTGAATACAACAGCCATATACTCTGCTCTATCCTGTACCAGTCTCGTTGTCTCCTACATCACTACCGCCATTACTCAAGTCACTGACTCAATCCATCTCATCAAGAGTCTCCCTTTGCTGTGCTGTCCCTCCACCCTCCCAAGCATGACGTCCTTCTCCGAGGACTGGTCCTGCCTTGCACCAACCATGTCCAAAGTGCGTAAGATGAAGCCTCAGGATCCTTGCCTCCAAGAACAGCCTGGCTTCACCCTCTCTAGGATGAAGCTGTTTGTTCCATGTAGTATATTCAGTGCTCTTCTCCAGCACCACAGTTCAAAGGCTTCAATTCTCCTTCTATTGTCATGCATACTTTTTTGAAATAATTAAATGGTTCAACCTTTAAAGATGCAGCATTTTTAATTTACAGAAAAACCTGTGAAAGTTTGAATCTGTGTAAGGCATAAATTTATCAGAGAAAGAATAGTACATTAAGATAGAAAAGTGCTAAGGCTGCACTCTGTCAGAGGTGGACAGCTTGAGAACTTGGGAAAGCAAGGCAGGCCTGTTCAAGCTTGGCACTTATAGATCTTACTATAAATATTCAGTTCTTTGCCTTCAAGGATTCATTGTAAACACTCATACAGTCCTTAAAATGGGAAGAGATTGCTTTCTTTCTCTCAAGGAGCTACCAGTACACTCACACTCTTGGAGATGCACAACCTTTGGGTTAGCAGCACCGCTCTCTAAAGACTTCACCTCTAGTCAAATTTTCATTGCTGTCGAGTCAGATCACTCTTAGCTGATGCTTCATCAGGTTTCAGAGACTGTAATTCACAAATGTTTTTGTGATTTTTTAAAAAATTGTCCATCTTTACCCCACATAGCTGCTGAGGTGGATTTGAACCACAGGAGAAGCACAGCCTTTGGGTTAGCAGCTCTGTTCTGTAGGGACTTAATAGATACTGAAAGGTAGTACCTACACTCAGATTTTCTATCCAGAAAAGTCTTCTTGAAACTGAGAAACAGCCTCTGCCTCTAAAGGTTCAGTGTACTGCAATTGTAGACACAGAGGTTAATACATTTGAATGACTGTTTTGTTTCTACATGGAGTTAAGAAGGTGAAGGAGTTCCATCAGTTATTTTTCTTTTGTTATTATTAAATTTTATTAGTTTCAATGAACATTCACAGGGATTCTGGGCTTTCACTCCTTCATTGCCGC